GTTATGGTTACAGGCTGTTTAACAGGCCGGGCGTGCACCGTGGGTGCTCCACGGAGAGGGAGACGTCCGTGTTTGAGACGGGAGCGGGTGGCGGGAGGTCTGAGGCTTCCAGCGAGGGGAGAGGGAGAAATGTAACAAAATAAGATAAAATAGGAAAACTTGTCTCCCTCTTTTATTAAATTTTCAGCTTTTAATCAAGGCGGGGGCTTCCAGCAAAGGGAGAGGTAGAAACAAACAGCCAGTGTGTGTGTGTGTGTGTGTGTGTGTTATGTTCAGGTGTTATCACGTAAATAACAGTGCCCAAGCAATAAACAGGACAGACAATAGGATTTTATTTATTTTTACACTACATTTTCACTGAAAGCTGTCCGAACCTGGCCCGACCCGCCGGGTAGGCCTACCGTCGGGACCCGTCAGGCTCGGATCAGGTAGCCACACTCACTCTAGTGTGTGTAGTCTATGTGTCCCCTATCTATAGGGGCCTATCTGAATTTCTGTCTTTGAGAGATATTATTTTGTAATATAACAGAACTTTCTATCCATACATATAAACTTTAAATATATAAAAATTATAAGGCATCTTTGAGTAAACTGCGAGTATCATTTAAGTAGGCTATCTCGTGGCCGGGCCGAGTGTCCTCTCTTTTGGAAATCAAAATATGGTCACCCTACTGTATATAGCGGCACTTTCTCTCATTAGAAAATCCCCAATAGAAGCTTCTAAACATAATGGGGCATGTTCCAGCAGAAATATGATCCGAAATCAGGGAGAAACAAAGAGTGTTTCCCTGATGTTAGCTTGTAGCTACATGTAGCAGTGCTTGCAGCCGGGGAATGACTGTATATAGCGGCACTTTCTCCTGTTAAAGAAAATTACCAATAAAAGCTTCTAAATACAATAGGAGGCATGTTCCAGCAGAAATATGATCCAAAATCAGGGAGAAACCAAGATTATACGTTTCCCTGAGGTTAGTTTGAAGCTACATGTAGCTTCAGGCTGCATTTTGGACTAGCTGAAGAGGGGATAAACAAGACTTAGTAATACCAAAATATACTGAGTTGCAATGATAAGCCGTGGAAGTACGGAGAATTGATCTGAGTTTGGAGATCTTGCGCAGATGCATGATCAAATATGACTCAAAGATTTTTAAGATGAGATTTAAAAGAAGGGGCCAGTGGGCCAAGATGAGGAGAAATAATGCTGGTCAAGTGCTGTGGTCCAAATAAAATAACTTCTATTTTACTCTCATTGAGCTGGAGAAAATTTGCAGCCATCCATAATTTGATGTCGTGAAGACAGTTGAGTTCTGTTAGTTTGCTGATGTTGTTTGGCTGTCAGGGGAGGTAGATCTGCGTGTCATCCACATAACGGTGAAAAGAAACGTTATGTTTTTGAATGATGTGGCCTAGTGGAGGAAATTAAATGGAGAAGAGAATTGGACCAAGTATGGAACCCTGGGGTACACCACAGGAGATAGGAGCCAAGGAAGAAAACAAGTTACTGATAGAGACAAAGAAAAGTATTATCGGTCCCCTTCATCACTGGTGGGTGACATTGCAACTCTCTTGTATTCTTGCTATCGTTTCCTTCATGTGGTATAGGGATGTGAGATAACGCATAGTCCGGAGACTTTGACCCTTCTGTTGAAGAGATTCAGCTACGACTACAAGCGCAGGTGTTTCGTCAAGCTTCACTGCAACGTGGATGTCCCCCAAACTTTACATGTGAAGGTATGTTTCCATATATTTTTATTAAAGCAGCAAAGTGTTTTAACATTTCTTAAATGTGGTAACTTTGTTTTATTTCTCTCTCTCTTCAGAATTGCAAATACAAGCTCTACGCTGTAGTTAACCACTTTGGTAATCTATCAGGAGGTCATTATACTGCACATATAAAATCTTTTGAAACTGACGTGTGGTATGACTTCAATGACGACATTGTTAACAGGGTAAGGAGGCAAATTTTTTTCATACGCAGTTCTCTTTCATGAACCCTCACACAGTTTCAACAACTTTAAGTTTAATGTTAACTGTGATTATTATCAATTCTGCAGGTTAAACAACCACTGTTTGGAGCTGGAGACAAGTCTTTGAAGTCTCATACAGCATACCTCCTCATGTACAGGAATGGTGAGTTTGCAAATTTACACTTTAATTCTTGGTTTATTGGTTTTTGTTTAACTTACGTTTAGATTTAAATTAAATTAATGTATTTACATTAGTGTTGCACGGTACACAGATGCTAGAAAGGTATCACAACACCACACTGTTACAAACGGTATCATGTTGCTGATGCTCAAACTCAGAATTCTTACCCGACACACTTCAGTAGTTTACAAAAGTTGCATGAACACAAATGACTCAATAATGTCACCCCTGATACAATATTACTGTCTTAAGAGGCACGCTCGTTTGGCGATTCCTGTGGCCAAAGAAGTTATGTATTTTTGTTGTCTGAAGTTCGTCTATCCCATTCTTGTGAACGCGATATTTCAAGAATGCCTTTCTTCAAATTTGGCACAAACATCCATGCGGACTCAAGAATAAATTGATTAGAATATGGGGGTTGAACATCAAAGGTCAAGGTCACCATGACCTCACAAAACATGTTTTTGGCCGTAGCCAAATGACAACATTTCACACAAATGTCTAATAGGATAAAATTATGTCATAACATGACGTCAAGTCATAGGTGTAAACTGTAGGCATAACTTAAGTGGTACACAGATGCATACAACCGTGAGGCAGTAATTTGAATTTAGCTAGATAGTGATATCATGTTAAACTAGACAACCTAAAGTAGTGATTCCCAAATGGTCCAGCCATGGGGTCCAGATTTCTCCTTAGTCATCAGTTCTTGGTCCACACAACTTAATACATCAAGCGTCATACTTGCTTTTGGCCATAACATAGAGTGAGTTTGTTGTCTCTGTCGACTAGCTGTCCATTAGTCACTTAATCTACAGCAGGAAATGGCACTTCATAATAGAAGATCTGTGCCAGAAATTCACTGTAATTAAAAAAAGTGTGTTCTTTTTGCAAACTTGACACGTTCTTAAGTCTCCTGTGGTCCATTTAGAATGGACCTGTGACCCACTTTTGGACCGCAACCCATCAGTTGGAAACCACTCACCTAAGGCATCCATTGGTACCAATCATGTCATGCAAGCTTGTCAGGAAGGGGGCTAAGTAATGCTCCAAAATAAGGCTACATTTTGGCCAGGGAACAACTGGCATAGCCATTTTCAAAGGAGTCCCTTGCACTGAAAATGGGTTGAAAAAGGCTTGTTTCCAATGAATGTTTTGTTCCTAACAATCAGTGTAATGTACTCCTTGAAATTAAAGCTATATATAGTGACTTTTAACTAAACAAAATGTCTAAACAAGCTACCGAGGGGCAAACAGGTGAACCAAATGAACCAGTTAATTCTAATCTGTAGCATTTCATTAACTCACTGTCATCCAATGTTTGGAGAATATTTCTCTGACCTCTTTATGTTTCCACCATTTTCTCCTCTGATTAAGAAAATCTTAAACCTCTTAAAAGTCCTCCTCCCTGCTCTTAATGGTTTTGCACCTTAGGAGCTCTTTTAAGGTCTAAATGCTTTGTGAATAACTTATCTTTACAATGACCTAGTCTTAACTTTAAGGGGAAATTCTAAGAAACAGTCACAATTCTAAGAATGCAGCTGCAGCTTACCCGTATGCTCATCAATGCTTCACCCTGTGTTCAGCTTCAGAACTGCATGTGTATAATTATATGTACTTTGTGTTTAGATAAGGATAAAATAAACAAACAAAAACTACATTATGGATCCAACAATGTATATGTGTCCTTTTCAGCAAAAGGACAACCAGCCTATTTGATGAACAACATATATACGTAACACACTACAACAAAATTAAATTCCTAAAATTCTAAAATGCTTTGCAATCACTTACTCAAAATGAAGTTGGACAACAAAACAAGGCCTTGTTTTCCAAAAGTATCCTAAGGCTAAAAAGATAAAACGGGGCCTTAATCTGTACACTTTTGCTGTTTTTTTGTTTTTTTTTTAAATAAACAATATTTATTTCCTCTTCAAAGTGAGCAGACATCCTGAAACAACTTATGAAAGCAACCAGGAGGCTCCCTGTGCACATTCAGACGTCAAGGCCGAATTAAGACATGGCAAGGCCGAAAGAGGAGAGCCTGCTGTTCCTCATCAACTGAAGGATGAAAGCTGCATCATAGGGAAAAACCTAATGCCCTTGAATGGTGACGTGATCTACGATTGGAGGGAACAGACAAACCTGTCTGGGGAACTGGACAAACAGTCAAACCAGGAAGCGGCATGTGGAAGGCAGCGCAAGGAGATGCTTAAAACAGACACTGGAGCAGATCAAGATAATATGCAAATGCAAACATCAAAATGTGCAAAGCTACAAAAAGATGGAGGACTGAAACCTCATGAGCCAATCAGACAGCAGCGCAGTACAAACTCAGAGGAGCACATGAGGCATCTTCATACCAAAAGGACCCCTACAGCAGCTTTTAAAACACACCCGTTAGACTACATGTTCGAGCAAAACCACACATCCCCAAATGACAGACTGAAATCAAATGAGACTGTCAGTGTTGTTGCAAAGACTGGAACCAATGAAACCTTCAAACCTGCAGAAACTGAAACTGTGAAACACAAAAGAGAGGCTGGTGTCGGTGCAAATGTGTGTGATTCTGATGTAAAGTCACTGTATGTTTCCTCCAATGGCCGCTCTTCTTCTTCAGCTCAGTACTCAACAGGACACTTTCAAGGTCAGTGTAGGAAGAATGAGCCAACATGGTGTAGCTGTTCACCAAACCTGTGCCGAAAGTCAAACGGTTCAAAGAGAGATAAGGAGAAAATGCAGCATGCTGTGACTGCGGAGAGCTGCTACAAACCTGAGACCAAACAAACTGTGAAAAAGGGAGAGATACCTGCAAGTCCAAGAGAGAGTCTCAGAAAGAGAAAAACAGCTGTAGAGAGTAGGGACAAAGCCAAACAAGAGCCATGGCGGTGATGGAATAATCAGGATAGTGATGTGTGGTTTGATTATTGAGTATTTACATCTGTAGCTGGACTCATGCAAAGCTGATTCTTTTGACACTGTTGATCCTGTGCTGCTATCAACTGTGACAGATAAACTGACTGTGATCAATGATGTTTTGTGCTGATTAAATGTCTCGCGTGGCATTACAGATGAATAAGTGTTACCTTTGTACTGTTAAGTTCAGTCAAGTGAAAGGCTGGTGTGTATCTCTTTAATTTTGAGGATGAAAGCGAAGTGTTTTTTTTTTTTTCTTTAACGGTTTCCTTTCTAAGCGTGCACATCCGCACACTGCTTTGTAACTGCACCAAGCAAATGAACAGGGCGGAAGACAGTGAAACACCACTTCAAAGATGGTTGTGAAAGTCGTCGTGAACGGGCCAGGGGTGGATGAGATGACCATCGACCTGTGCGACACTGAGGAGCAGTTAGAGCATGACGGTGTTGCAGCTGAAGAAGAAGATAATAGAGGGACAGAATGACTCAGGAGGACCAGGTAGACTCACTTTTGAGTGTACGTACAACAACCAACACATAGCTACGAGTGAGAAAGTCTTTTGAAACGTACAGGTTATGATGCCCGTGGGCCAAACCCCAAAACAGTTGAGATGGAAATTATTTTACAGTGCTCAAAAAATTAAAGGAACACTTCATGGTCACATCATAACACCACTTCAGTTAAACTTAAGCCATATCAATTGATCCATTTAGGAAGCACAAATGATTGTACTTTCCCTTCTTTTTTTTTTCTGGGGGAGGACCCCAGACGCCCTGCCAATTATGTATCTTTACAAATTTGCTCATATTTTCAAACGTAATCAGGCCCATACTATTTGAAAGTCCAGCCCACAGTGTGGAGCAGTGTGTCTGCTTAGAAAAATTCCGGCCCTTGGACAAATCTAGTTGATGACCCCTGGTATACCTGGAAGATTTTTATTTTTTATTTTTATTTTTTTTTAGTGAAAATGAAATGCAAAAGTGTCTATTGCGTCTAAAGTCATGACTTACACATTAAAACGACTGACAAGTGAAGTGATTTGATTTGATTTATTGACAAAAGCAATACATAGAATTTAAAACAATAAAAACACATGTCTGCATTTGTCAGGGATGGAACAAAAAAGTCCAGGACTTATTTCCATCGTTGTCCCTGTTCTAACTGCAGTCCAAGTGGTGGCATGCATCAGGAAAGTGCTTGACAGTCTACATTAATCATAAGTTCATTAAGAGCAATAGTAAATGAAACCATAATAGTGCAAAAAAGAGCGTTACACTTACAAAGGTAGGTCGCAGAATCCTGTGGACCATAGTAAGTTGGATCTGTCTAGCTCTGGCCTCAACAGGTAGCCACTGTAATTGTTTAAATTGAGCCACTCCCAGATGGCTCCTGTGGTTCAGCCCCAGGACTACTCTAATTAGTTTGTTCTGTGATGTCTGAAGTTTTTGTTTCAGGGCTTTGTTTAGACTTGTGATGGAAAATTCGGGTATTTAAACATGTTTAACCTATAATGTGTTGTATAAGGTTACTTGTTTTGATGAAACTGAACTTGTAGCCTAATGATGTGTGTTGCTCATTTAACCCCTACTGTGACAGCAGTGAGAGACACCAAGGTCACGAGCCAGGGAGGCTCAGACACCAAGATTATGAGCCAGGGAGGACACCAATTGTCCTTGTTAGTCTCAACAGATGTTGTGTTTTAGGAATGTCAAGGTGCCACATATTTTGACTGTTGATGTGCATGTGTTATGGGAACTATAAAGATAGCAGGGCGAGAGGACTTGCTAGGCACTCGTTCACTGACTGACTGTTCATGCGGTTGTATGTGTGAGTGTCTCCATTCATGAATTAAAACTCAAGAAAGACAGCTGACGTGAAGACTTTTTCTTTAAACTGTTCATTAAATAGTAGTTTTGCCACCACAGACTCAAGTACCAGGAACTAAACATCTTTAGACACTCCTGGTTCAGTAGTGTACCCTTTCTTGCAGTGCTAGTTCTAGCATTTCATTTTCCAAGGGTCTTTAGAGCCATAGAAGCGCCCCCTAGAGACCCATCAAGGATACAACCTAAGTGTTTAATTGAGGGCTGCAATGTGATTGTTACCCCTCCAGTAGTTATAACAAGTTTGTCCTCCTTGCTCAACTTAACTTTTGAGCCCAATAGTATAGATTTGGTCTTACCTAGGTGCAATAGCAACCTATTTTGAGACAACCAGGTTTGAACCCTGTCTAGATCCTCTCTTAGAATGTTCTGTATGCAATGTATGTCTTTGTGTGATGCGAGAATGGCATAATCGTCAGCATATAAAAATAAAGCACTGGAGCAAGCAACTTTCATGTCATTGATGTAGAATAGGAAGAGCAGTGGCCCAAGCAAACTCCCCTGTGGAACCCCACAGGAAACAGGAATAGCCTCTGACAACACTCCCCCAACATCATCTCACTGGTTCCTTTTGATTATGTTGTTTAAGTGCATTGTTCTGCTGGGAAACCTTTGGTTCTGGCATTCATGTGGATACCACCTGACATGTTCCATGCACCCAAACACCATTGACAACAACACCTCCCAATGGCAGTGGCCCCCCAGCAGGACAATGCACCATGCCACACTGCAAACATGGCTCAAGAAAGGCCCAAGGAATGTGACAAAGACCTCCAAAGTGTTAACCTGGCCTCCAAATTCCCCAGATCCCAATCTGAATGAGCATCTGTGGCACGTGCCATTAACCCACCTCACAACCCACTGGACTCAATGGATCTGCCACCAACGCACTGGTGCCAGACACTGCAGGACACTCCCAGAGATCCTGTGTGCATGCCTCCACAGGTCAGAGCCAAGTCCGATCCAAGGAGGCCCCACCTTGGATTAGGAGTACATCTGGGGTACCAGCACATCACAAGAATCCTTGAGCAGATTGGGATCTGGGAAATTTAGAAGCCAGGTCGACACCTTGAGCTTTTTGTCACGCTCCACAGGCTATTCCTGAGCAGTGTTTGCAGTGTGTCATGGTGCTTTTGTTTTTTCACTGGGTAGGACTGTTGCCATGAGGGGGGGCACTTGGTCTGCAATGGTGTTTGGGTAGGTGGAGCATGTCAGGTGGTATCCACATGAATGCCAGAACCAAAGGTTTCCCAGCAGAACAATGCACTGGAACAAGATGATCAAAGTTATCCACTTCACCTGCCAGTGGTTTTAATGTTTTGGTTGATTGGTGTATCTCAATAGCATTATCCATCAAAAGTCGTGCAGCCCATATCAAACCCAAATTCTGTGCGAGTTATGCCAGTATATGGTTGCCAATGATGGGCAATGTAAAGACCACAGGTTCAAGAGGGGTTAAATTACATCTTTGGTTATATCTTTGGTATTTGTTTTTGAGAATTGCTGTCAGTGCCTGGTTTTGACTCCATATCTATCCTATTTGTGTGTGTGTGTGTGTGTGTGTGTGTCATAGGCCTCGGTGAGGACCTGCAGCTGATCTTCAAAGACAAGGATCTGGACGGAGACTCCACCCTGCTGTCCGAATATGGAATCCAACACGTCAGTCATTCAAACAGGCCAAAGGGTCAAAGTTGTTCTCAAGACGTTTGAACAGGCTGATGCAGTTTGGCATAGGAAGGATAAATTGGTTCTGTGCGGTCAGGCTGGAGGGACTTGTGGGTTGGCTGAAGTGGCTGACATGAGGACTGCATGTGGGACTGACACAGATTCTACTATTTGTGGGTGATATGGGTGATAAGAAGGATAAGCACAAAAATATAGAAAGGCTGTCTATTTGTAAACCAACTCAGCATGTATTCTCGACTCTCCGTGTTTTGTTCCTTACAGAAAAGAACTCAGACACAATGCTGTCCAACTTCGCCAAACTGTATTGACCTTTGTTACCCAGACAATCCAATACCATGATCTGACATTAATGTGAACAGCTGACTACATGACATCTCTCTTCCTTTGAGAAAAAAACACAGTAAAAAGTAATTTTCCATCAACAGCAGACCAACAGTGATAAACTGTTTACTTTAAGAACAAGATCCTTCACTCACTCCTCTTTATTTCATTTATTTAACCTTTATCTAACCAGAAAAACTGAAAGTGTTTGTTATGAGTTCATGGAATATTATCAGACTCAGAAAGACATAAAGAAAAGCTAAAAATGTGTCATCATGTATGCATGTTGAATGATCTGATGTTTCAAGAATATTTGAAAATATCTTACTATATAATGACGAAACTCTGTGTGTCTGTTCCACGTTTTTCTCCTCACTGACTTGGTCAATCCATGTGAAATTTGGCACAGTGGTAGAGGGTCATGGGAGGATGCGGATGAAGCAATATTACATCAGTTGGCCAAAGGGGGGCGCTATAGCAACTGATTGAAATTGCAAACTTTGAATGGGCATATCTCATGCCCCGTATGTTGTAGAGACATGAAACTTTGCACAGAGATGCCTCTCCTCATGAGGAACAAATTTGCCTCAAGAACCCATAACTTCCGCTTATACAGATTTTCCGCCATTTTGAATTTTTTGAAAAACACTTAAAATCGATCTCTTCCTAGGAAGTTTGACCGATCTGCATGAAACTGGGTGAACATAATCTAGGGACCAATATCTAAAGTTCCCTCTTGGCAAAAGTTGGAAAACTTACTAAAACTGAGCTTCTATAAGGCAATGAATATTGCGGAGGGCGTGGCTCATCACATAAAGGTGTATAACATCTCAAGGGTTTCACCCATCACCACGCAACTTTGTAGGCATATGACCACACATAATCTGAGGGGACCCCTCCATTATTGACCCCATCAAACAAAATGGGGGCGCTAGAGAGCTAATTTCTTATCTAGGCCTAACCGCCACATCGATTTTTACTGAACTTGGTAGATATGTAGAACAGGACGCCTCTTTTTTGGGGGGGCCTCTATTTGACAGGACAGTGAAGCATGACAGGAAGGATGGGAGAGAGAGAGCAAGGAAGACATGCAGCAAAGAACGAAGGCCGGATTCCAACCCCCACCGCTGCAACAACGGCTAGCCGCACCTTTCCCATGTGAACTACCAGTGCGCCCCACTTTTAAGTCAATACAACATATAAACACTTGAACTATCTGCCTTTCAACGTGCTACCTCAACTAATAATGTACAGTTTTAGCCCATTAACTATCCCACTATTGGCAATGGTACCATTGCACTTTCAGTAAAGCAATCGTACTATCAAAATCACAAAAACTCTGTCTGAACACATACATTCCTCTTCTTAATGGGTTCAGTTGACTATTTAATTTGCAATTTCCTATGACCTGTATCCCAAACACACACCATGTGAAACTGTACATGGGCAACTGTGCACTCTATGGGTATGGACTAGTTTTTGTTAATTTCACTTGGCTGAATGTGAAACCACTTTCCAATGGTATTAAATCGTGTCATCACTGACAATGTCACATGCACACAGTAGTGCCCTTATTACATTTCTATAAAGCTGTATACATGGCTAATGAAAATGAATATTCCACTAATATTCCCGTGTACATGCAGCCATATAAAACACCAACCAAATCCTCCCTAACATGTCGTTGATCACATGAAAACGTGGAAAAGCTGAAAGGTTGGAGCTGCTTGTACCATTTTGTGTCTTTGCATCAAATTAGGGTTTTTCCCCACAGTTTCTTATCCACCTTACTGTGTGACTCCTTTTTGAAAAGGTCAGTATTGCGATATTTCCACATATCCAAAAAGCTGTTGATTAAGTCTTTTGTAATGTTAAACATTGGTGTGTTTTTCATTCTGATGAGAAATGTTTGCTTTTCTTTTAGGCATGCATTTCTATACCAGCCTTGCATACTGTTGGTGAGATGGCAACTGTGTTAAAAACCCCAGCTGACAAATGAAAGACTGGTATATATTTCTTTAATACTTCGATGAAAGTGAAAGTATTTTTCCACTCACTGTTTTATTATCTGCACCAAGTGACGGACGCTGCAGAAGCGCACAGACAAACACCACAAAAATGGTTGTGAAGGTCACTGTGGTTGGGTTAAGAGGGGATAAGATGGAGATCGACCTGTGTGACACTGAGGAGCAGTTTGAGAGCATCACAGTGCTGCAGCTGAAGGAGGAGATACTGAAGAGACAGCCTGACTGTGGAGACCCAGGTACAGTCACTTTGGATTATTCATGCAACCTACACATGTTCATGATTGAAATTAACGGACACTTGACACTGACATGGTTATAATGCTTAAATCAGTTCACTTTCAGTTGTTGCATATTGGACCTAAGCTATGTGTGGGTTCCTGTATCTGCCTAGAGTACATACGACTGATCTTCACAGACAAGTTACTGGACGAAGACTCCGCTCTGCTGTCTGCATATGGAATCCAGCACATGTCAGTCATTCACATGGTTGTACGTGTGCCGGGGGGATCGGTGTATCCGTGGACGGGACACGGTGGAATGGGTGACAAGGGGGGCAAAAACAGAAGCATGGAGAGGCTCGCTTCTGTGTAAAATCCGCCCATTACTCACCAATTTTTTAAAGCTCATTTCCACTTTTTTATGATAATTGGATTTAAATTGTGCTGTATGTGTCTGCTGTTTGAAGTGTGTATGAACAGAGACAGGAGTGCCTTGAACTTTGAACCCTTGAGCAAACAGTGACACACCTTAAACGCAGGTTGTTTTCACACACTTGGACACGACAATACCAAATAGATAAAGGAAAGGAGAGAAACTCTCTGTGGGGTGCTGAGCAGTGTCTTGGAGTTTCACAGTATATCAGTCCACCTCCTCTATACATTGGTGTTTACCGTACCATATAAACATGCATCCAGGAAACTATTCAAAGTTAAAGACTGAAAGCAGAGATCAGGCGTCACCTGGAAATATGAAACCAAAGGTAGTTTTTCAAAAAGCAGCAGTCGAGCCATCTCTACAAGGATTAAAGCCACACAGATGGACAGCAAAATGCTCTTAACGTCGCATTAGTCTGCTCACATTCCACTAAACTTGCTCCTATTTTTCATTGTAAGAAACGAGCACTTAGAATCAACAACTGCGCACATCAAACTCATTCTTCTCAGCCATTGTCTCTGCAGTTAGGCACCGTCAGATCGCTCTATTTCTACACGGTTCTTTAAACAGAACCCCTTTTGCGTATTTTACCCAATCACCAGAAAAAATGTGCGTATAGTATGTTTTTGCAAACCACAGATGACATTAAATATGTACAGTACTTTGAAACTTTACATTCTCACCAACGCTGTGGTGGAGGTGTGGTTAGGTTTAGGCATAAAAATCACTTGGTTAAAGCCACAGTGTGTAGGAATTTCTCCCATCTAACTCATATATTGCATTCAAACGGATAGCGCACTCTAGCACCTCACTCTTTCAAACGTGTATTGCAACTACGGTAGCCGCTGTGTACCAAAAAGCTATGATAACATTGATGAAACCATGTCATCCGATTCTTCATGCGACTCGTGTTGACAAACCCCCTCCTCACCATGCTTGCTGTGTTTACAACGTAAAGCAGGCCAATCACAGTGTCCCTTTTAAAACCTTTCTCCTTCAGCAGATCTCTCCACCTGGGAAAAGCTACCCCGATGTTGGCCCCCGTTTTTTGAATTTGCCGTTCACGTTGCCTTTTTGGTTCCCTTTTGCACTTTCTTGGCGACGAGGATTCCGTCTCCCGTGATGCTGCATATGCAGGATCCTGCATTATGCTTAAAGAGTGGGACTTTGTTTCAAATTTGCCGGGGTTGTAGCAAAGCGCCTCCTTCGGCTCCTCAGTCACGCAGTGCTGGCCTGGCTCTCAACGAAAACGGCGATGGCAGGGCTGTATGTCCCTTGCTGGCGGATGTATTTTCAAGATGGTGAAACATTATGGAACCACCCAGAAGACTTACCCGCAAAATGTACAAACAAATCCAAAATTCTCCTTTTACGAGAATCCCTTTAAAGTTGGCACCTAAACAATTCAAGAAAGCTGTCTGTTTTTACGTCCACAGTATTATGTCCATGAATTATCTGAGTGAACTGTCCACTGATATTTGGTGATTTTGATTTTATTTTTTCTCTGTCTACTTGCAAATATGGATGTCTGCCACTGTGTACAATCTTATCTTTGGTGTCTTTTTTCTGGAGAGTGCCTTGATCCAGCCCCTCTGAGGGGCCCCTCTCAATCTCACTCCTGCTGTTTATGTACAGAATTTGTAGTCTACAGTAAATTACTGGCTCCTGAGTTGCATTAATACTTAATTATATAACACTCAAATATGTTCAAACTGCCTAAAGTGTAATGTAAAATAAAATACCAGAGTATAGGCTATTTCTTGCCTGCTGGGCCAGACCTGTGCAGATATGAAACCACGCATCTCTAAAAAGTCAACTTTTCATGGTGTCAGAAAAACAGCCCTGTTGTCAGCTGTCAGCCGAGGAGGTTTTAAAGAGTTTATTTAGCTGGAATACATCTGTTTAAACCAGTTTATCACAAATATTAAAAATCCAAACACTTAATAATGTGTGGTTTTAACTGGACAAGAAGAGAATGAAAAACTTTAAGTGATAATAATTGATCTCTGATGAGAAATTCATCCTTAATAATTGAATCCCTTCATAAAGTTTCCCTTTAACATGAATACATCCAAGAGATTTAAAAACCACNTCAGATAGACGTAGTGGAGTGTAAAGGCCAGGGTTCACCTCTGAAATGAAGTTGGGTAGAAAATGGAAATATTCAAAGAACCTTGGATATTATTACATCCCACCACTGATGAAGCTGCAAAATAAATATGTACATTTTTATTTTATTTATTTTTTATTTATTTATTTTATTATTAATAATAATAATCATAATAATAATAATAATATTTTAGTATTAGGTTGATGAAGGGGTAACGGATATAAATGGTGAATTTACAGTAAATGACTGGCTACCACTGTAGTATACTTTATATTGTAATTCTATTCTGTGTGACCTGTAATTGCTTTTTGTTTTAAATGTCACTGAATGTTTCCTCCTAATAATTGATCTCTGATGAGAAATTCATCCTTAATAATTGAATCCCTTCATAAAGTTTCCCTTTAACATGAATACATCCAAGAGATTTAAAAAACACAAGTCTGAAGAGTGAATTACAGTAAGTGTTTCCAGGAGAGGCTGACAAGATTTAAGTTGGTAAGTTTTCTTTGAGGTGTTGGTGCTGTCTCTTTAATTTCAAGAATCAAAGTGAAAGTATTTGTCAGCTCGTCAGTTTCTGTGTTATTTGACGTCGAACACAACCTGCCGAGAAGCCTTTTTATTTACTCCCGTACAAACAAAACTTTGTGTGAAGAAGGAAGGAGTCAACAACTTTTACCGGTAAAAAAAAACCACACACATACAGAGGAAGAATTGTAATCAACTGTGAAGACATAATAGATATTTAATGACGTGCATTATCGCCTTTATACACGCAGGCAGAGACGAGAGGAGCGCAGCAACTCGCCACCAACAGCACAGACATGGGAAACTGGTTTTCGGTGCGTGGAAAAATGGGAGAGAAGAAGACCATCGGCTCAATTTACCTATTTCGAAATAGGGACAATGCATATTAATGGACACATACATGAGTATATGCAAATACACCAGATTGTAGTCCAGGGCTAATTTCCATCTGTTATCCCTATAGGCAGGTTGATGTAAAAATGTGTTGAAAAGGAGCGACAAAAGACAGAGTTAAAATTCATGGCAACCACGTAGACACAATACAGAAGACACGAAAGGTGCACAATAAACATTTAAAAAAAAGCCCATGACAACACACAGAAGTGACCAGGCATATATGGTAATATTGCACATAAACCCTGTTACACATGAGCCCAGGTCAATTCATCAACAATGTCAAAAGCGTATACAGTACAAGATAAGTCCAAAACATTCAGTGCAGTAAAATACAGTGCAAAAAGGAGTTTGAGTGGGGGACTGTAAGTAATGTGGAGATGAAGATGAGACTGCAGCAGTGCAAAGTCCTGTTCATGATTCTTGTTATGCTGTATAGAAAGAATGGATGTGAGTGAACATTAATAGCTCTTGGTGTAAAAAAAA